CAAGCAAAATAACAATTTAATCCTGTACACTACAATGGACTAATTTTTTTGTGTGTTTAAATATTTAGTTAAAATGGTATAAACAATCAATAACAAGTACTGAAAAGGCAATAACAAAAAATGCAAATACAAAAGGATTCCATGCAAAATACATTAACACAATTCTCTAAACTACATACGTACAATTACACGACGGTGTCTGTGAAAACTAAATAAAAAAGAAAAAACAAAATAATCTTTGGACAGTCTGTCCTTCATTTTTGCAGTACTGCCCTAAGACTTTTCAATTTTTACAAGTACATAATAAAATTGTTTAAAATGTTGTTATTATTGTTATACATGAAGCATGGTTTTACGTACTGTACAGTTTAAATTTCATCATCAGTAATAAAATGCTTTATACATTTGAACGGGGATCAAGAGAAGTTTTTTTTTGTTTCTGTCATTAAGTAGCAGACAAAGCTCCAAAGTAGGAGGGCACAGAAGGTAGACAACGTCCTTGTTTCTTTATAGAACATTTTTGAAGTAATAAAGCTGAAGTTTAGATACGAAAAAAATCTCGTTAGTTTTAGTGAGCTACCTTACCTGTAATGGCGCATGTCCCACGTTGTTGAGGCAGCTGGATGCTGGAGAAATCTCCAGTGCAGGGATGCCCTGTCCTCTTCCTGTCTCTGAACTCTCGCTGAGGGGGGTTAATAGCTTCTTGTCTTCTGTGATGTTTCTGACCGCCCCTCCCTCCTCCATTTCTTTCACTGCCTGTAACATGATCTGTGAATGGATGAGAGAATCTTCTGACTCAAGAGACACCCCTTCATTCACGGATGGTGCAGTGAAAGCAATGAAAGAATGTTTCTCAATAGAGGAGGAGGTAAGTCCATTGGAAACTTGTTCACAGCAGTGCCATAAAACTAAGCTATTAACCCTTTGCAGCGCCAGGAAATGCAACAGCATGAAGAGGACAGGGCAGCCCTGCACAGATTTCTACTGGATCCACCTGCCTGCACAACACAGGACATACATACTTCATTGCATTTTATTTAGTTAGCTCACTAATACTATAGAGATTTTTTTTTTGGGCTAAACTTCTGCTTAAGGCTCCTCTCACATGAAGCAGAGCAGATCCCCTGCTGAATTGGAGCCAAACAGGATGGATGTCAATTTATTTTGACATCTGTGCCCATTCAGTTTGTTCCCAAGGGACACGTGATAGTTCTGTGGGTGGCCGAGTGTACACAGACTATGGTCCACTTGCATCAGGCTACCTCCAATCCATCACATTTAGTTCCGCAATCACGGAAAAAGGATGCAGTCTGTTTTTTTTCCAGACCTGGAACAAACTCGGATATAAACAGACACAAATCTGTTTAAATCCAACCATCCACTGGACTGCATGGAGCTTCTAATCAGGTCGGCCTTAAAATGTGACAAGTGGACCTGACCAGAAAGCCTGTGTGAAAGGGCCCTATGGTCATAAAGTAAATCAGTCATACTATTGTTTTCGTATTCGGTCTTTCATATAAAGACTTCCAGCGCCAGAGGTAAGCCTAGAGTGTCTCATAAACTTCCCTAATACTTAGAGCTCATCTCTGGGCAAATTGCTATATTTTACATATAAAATACATATATATAGGTGCTATTTTACCTGCCATATTTTGTATTTCTGTACAACCAGCCCTGGGATTAACACATTAAGACATGATTTTTCTCTACTGTAGTTCAGTAACACTTGCGGTGTTGTCCCTCCCCCAGCTTGTGACTGGACAGTGAAAATAGAAGCAGCAGACTGATAAAATCTTCTCTTTGTTCTCCCCCCATATCAGTATGTTCCTTGGTATCAACTGTTTGGCTCCTTGTCCTGCTTTTCCTTCCCCTATACAAAGGCTGATACCAAGCCAAATTCAGGTACTTGCACTGCTTGTATGTAAACAAAAAACATTTATAGGTGTATTGATAAATACAGAACTGCATTTATTTGGGCCATTTTATCGGTCTGGGGTTCAGCTTTAAAGTGATAATAAACCCTCAGTTTCAACAGCAGATCTAATCACTTGCTGAGTGTGCAGCTACCATTTAATCCTTGCCTATGTTACAGTTTAAGTTGCTGCCTAGACCCTTTTCCCAGGTGTCATGTTGCAGGGTGGCTCCCTTGTCTTGCAGCATCCTATGGGGCCACCCTTGCAAGTAGGGAAGGACAAGAGTTGTGCATCAGCAGAAATACACAGCCCCATAGGATAGGATGGCATAGCACTCTTCTACTCCTCTCCCCCCCCCCTTCTACAAGCTAACAGATTGACCAAAAACTTAATTGTCCATCACTAACGTTTTCCTGCAAAGACCAGAAGTTCAGGGAAGCACAACAGAGCAGGGACAAGCAGCATTTAAAGTTGTGAATTGCAAATGCTGGGGTAAGTATTTTGAGATTGGGGGAAAAGGGATCCTTCACAGGGATCTATTAATGGGATGACTACAAGACCCACCTGCCACTGTGGCAGACACACAGACTGTGGTGATGCCACAGCACTTTTGGTCCATTGTTTACTTCCTCTAGCCCCATAACAAAAACTCTGTAAGGAGAGGGCTCAAATATTAACAATGCAGGAGCATGATTTTTGCCCCATACCACCCCATGATACACTGAATACGGTTGCAGTGCTCTGCAGGCTTCAATGCAAAAATGTAATAAATGCCATTTTTATTCAATTAACGTGGATGCATTTTTTTTACAAAAGGTAGACTGAGCTCTAAAACTGTTTTTCTGTTGTTTAGAATGCACATAATAGTTAAAAGTTAAATACGCTAAAAACGTAACTTTTGCCATAAATCTGGGAATCAGAGCTTCCTCACTAGGTGTACGGTTTGTGACAGAACCCCTCAACCTAAATAATGTGCTTCCAAATCCTCTCGATACACCATATGACCAATACTGTTGGCACTGGACACTTGACCTGCTGAGAGAAACAAACTCAGTGTATCCTCTTGCTCCTCTGTCTTTCCTTTGGTTTCTTTGAACCAATTCCACCCAACAGTTTTGCATTCTAGCAATGCTATGAAACCACCATACAAAACAGGTGCCAGGTTTTCATTTTGTTTTTTTAAACGGAACTCAAATCCCATTAAGGAGACATTTAGAAAACATAAGCAGCCAATACAGTGTCTGATGGTAACTTAAAGAACCTGATTATACTCTGAAATCCAATTTCACTTAAAGCTGAAGTCCAGGCACAAACATTTTATTATATTCCTCAATAGCCACAAAGGAAATAAATTCACTTTCTGTGCATCAAATGGCTTTGCAAACCCAGATATCACCTTGTAAAAAATAGTGGTGACATCATGGATGTACTGCATATAGTCTGTGCAGAGGGCAGAGCTGTGAGAGGAACCAAACAACAGGTCCACAAACAGGTCCATACTGCCTGTAGAAAATTACAGGAGTGGGGCTAGAAGACTAGTCATCCTGCACAAGAAGAGAGAGCAGCAGTGACTGGTCTTCATTACAGGAAGCTCCTGCACAGAGGCATTGCTTCTCAATGGATTACTGCACAGATCTGGAAGAAACAGACAAAAGATACCAAGATTAAAGTAAGAATGCACGTCTTTTGTATTTAGAAAATACACGATTATCCAGTTTAGATTTATGATGGAATGCACCAAAAGGGAAGAGCATATCAACCTTCTTAACCCTCTTCCTCATACTGTCAGCTACTTGATGGAAGGTTCATCATAAAGTTCATCTGTCATTAAAGGTGACAGTTAGAAATAAACACAGAATACATTCTATGTACTGCCAGGTGCTCATTAGTATGACTTAGTAGAAAGGTAGGACACCTCAAGAATAAAGGAAGCAGCAAAGGACACCAACTAAGTGTAGTATATAACTTTATATATCGCAGAGATCACTTCAGTCTCATTGAGGAGCTGGCACAAATATTTTCAGGCCTATGAACCTTCTAGTATAATCCTAGACCTCCATTCATGTGTATAATTATGTTGTAGTTCAGCTGTATTCCTACCTGTGCCAATTGACTAATCCTTAAGAAACCTCAATTCCCGGAGTCCTGTAGTCTTCATAATTTTGACTTTTCCAACCCCTCTAGAGAGCTGTAGGCTGTACTGAGGATGGTCATTATCTTCTTCCCGCCGGCCATACGCATATATGCGGCCTCTTGGCGGGTGGGTCTTAGCGCAAAGCAGCTGTGTATATGCAGCCCTGTAAAAGCAACATACTGTGCTGAGAGCGTGCTCCCAGCATGGGAGCCGGCAGGGATCAATAAGCTCCCAATGCATACTTGCGATCAAGAGCTTTTGAATCATGAAACCACTGTGACAGCCAATCACAGCTGTCACATGACCCGAAAGCCTGCCTCTGCCTCCCAGCATCTTTAAGCTCTTAAAGGGTTGGAAGGCAGCAGCGGGAAGAGGTTAACACTGATTTTACAGAAATCAGAAGGTGCATATTGTACACCGAAAGGGGTCTGAGGATCTATTGTCTCCCAAAGAACTTTTGCACCACAATTTCTAGTAGGTCATACTAAACGGCACGTGGCAGTATATAGTATAAAGCTGTGCAGATTTCCTCCGGTCTCTTGTATGAACATGTTTGGTATTACTGTACTGACCTATACATTTTAACTCTGTGCCTTAAAGTCAATATAGCTAATTTACAATATATTGCTTTATACCATACAGTCATACGAATGTGCCAATAGATTGTACACGTGTCATCATCACATTGTGGCCTATGTACAGTGAAAGTGCGTTACTGAAACCTATTTTGTAAGGAATAATCACAAAATTTACCATTACATGAGAATCTGAAATACAACACCACGGGAAATGCACTTGCCGCAGCTTATGCCCGCATTGAAATAAATCAGAGGAGATCAGAGATGCGGTCATAATTTATAAATAAATAGGGGTGTGGAATAAAGCCAGCTAGAAACCAGTAGGGAGAGGGTTAACAACTATGTACAACATGGCTCCTCCAGTATAGGTTACAGTTAGCAAAATGGAGAAGCTGTGGGGTCGAAGGTTTTGAAAACATCCTTCAAAGGTTTGTCATCTTCTGGCTCAGCCTCAGTGTTAGCATCTGATACCTGGCTGGCAGGTCCTGTTGACTTGGTTTGTCTTGGATCGTTGTACTGGGGCCTGATAAGTCCTGATAAGGCCTGGATTGGCAGGTTATGAACAGCGGGTGCAGAAGCTGGCTGTACTGCTGGAGGTTGATCTGCTGTTGCCTGTTTCTCATCTGAGTTCTCAGGTTTGTTCTCAATCTCCTCAGAGCTCTGAGCATCTTTGTCTAATGCCACTCCTTCTGTTGAGCTCACAGGTTGCTGCACACTGTCCATTGCTTCAGGCTCAGCAGATGGCCTGTTCATATCAGCTGGTTTCTTCTGATGGTCTTCATTATCTCCTGTCGCAGTTGACAAAGGCTCTGAAGAAGAAGTGGCTGCACTGTCACGAGGACTGTACAAACTGATATTCTTCAGTATTGACCCTGGGGATCCCAGTCTACTACTTGATGGGGACAATTTAGGAGTATATGTTTGAAAGGGCATCCTGAGGCGGTTTAACAGACGTTGGTGATGACCCAACAGCTGACCTGGCTGCCAGGCGGGGGTCAACTTTTTGAGGCAACAAATCTTTTATTGCTCCAGGTTGGGTATCAGAGCTTGGAGACCGGTGAAATCTTGATTGAAGGTTTTTCTGAAGCCGAGGATCACTCGGCTTGTTAGTCGCATGTGAGTCGGTTGGATCTGTAAAGTTACTTCTGGCTGACATATTTGCTTGTTTGGTTTTTGATTCCAGTCTTGGATCCAACCTTTCTAACCGTGGATCTAGGCCAGAATGGTGCACTTCACTCAGACTCCTTGACCTGTTAAGTCTCTGATCAGCTATAAGTGGAGGTAATGGCAAATTTATTGAGGATACAGGGTCAGGTTTAGGAGGGGGTACAGGAAGTAAATCCTCAGGAGCCCAGACAATTAGTTTGGCAAAGTTGGGTTTTGACAATATAATGTCCATTTTAATGTGACTGAACTGTCTCAGTTTACGTCGTGGGTCCCTCAGAGTCACACCTGGTAACATTTCTAATGGAATTATAGCTGCCTTCTCTCTCAATTCCCTTTCAGCATCTTCATCATCTTCATCCACCACTTTCTGCTGCTTGGAAATACCCCCAGGCTGAACAGGTTGACTGGCAGTGGAGGTCTCATTCAGTTTAATTTTTCTGGGGTCACGAGCCACTCTTGGGTCAGCAGACACATTCTCTCCTTGATGGCCTGGACTTTGCCCCTGAGAGGGTCTTACTCGGGGGTCAAATATTTGCCCTGAACCCGCCCTGTCTTTTGTCAGCCTTGGGTCGTTACTTTGAGGGACGAGCTTTTGTTCTGTGGAGTTAGCCCGTGCTAACTTGGCTTGGTTTCGAAGTGTTTTTAGGATTGAACTCACACCGCTGCCATCCTCTTCTTCACTGCTATACCAGTTTGCAAACTCATCTAAAGAAAAGAATAAGAGGAAAGTATAATAAGATAATCAAGAATGTAGTACTAGAATGTGTGTATCTAATATCTAATAGATTGTCATTCTTGAGCAATCCATTATCTATTTTTATCCCACTGTTAATATGAGAAAAAAAAAGGACACCCTTTTAAAGAAAGAAATAATTTCACACCTATAGCTGCCAACCAGCAGGGAGCTAAGTATTTTTTGACTGTCGGAATGTGAATCACCCAACCAAGTAGTCTGTTAATCAAGGGAGTTAAAACATAAGTCAAAGAAATTTGGCTTTAATGGATAGGTTTCATAACAGAAAGTAGAACATATTTTTTTTTCATTTATATAACAAAATAAAAAACAAAAAAAACTGTGGTGACTAAATACCACCAAAATACCACCACACTAATTGTGTGGAAAAATGTAATTTGGGTACAGAGTTGCATAACTAAGCAATTGCCAGTTAAAGTAGCACAGTGCTAAATAGCAAAAAATCTTCTGGTCATGAAGGGGGTAAAACCTTTGGGAGGTCAAGTGGGTAAAGAAAACCTGTAATGTTCTTTGTGCAGGAACACAAAGCAACTAGTAACCTGTGTGCCTGGTGGAAATGTATGGCCCTCTGCCTATCTCTATCTGGGCAGAGGTGATCAAACAAACACAGTAAGCATCTAAATTCACTGAGACTTGGCTGGTTTTATCACTGGACAGGGAGTAGAGGTTACCAACACTTCGCAACAAAATTAGGAAAAGCCAGGTAACAAAATAATAATAACAAAATAATAAACTATCACGATGACAAAAAAAAAAAAAAAAAAAAAGGATTCCTTGATAATAAAGGCAACTGTGGGCATCGTGTTGTACCTGATGCACAGTTGTATATTTTAAACATTTAAAATGGAGTACATATTTACTTTAAGGAATGTCTTCTTATGTGACAAAATGTAATTGCTGTCTGTGCATTTCATGAGATTATCCCGTCTGAGTCTATACAATGAACTGTGTACATACCTTCCTCTCTGCTCACTGATCTTTGCGGGGGAGGTGGCTGGCTGCTTTCTGCACCATCTAAGTTTTTGCCAATTCTTGAGAACAAAACTTTACACACAGCTGAAAATAAACATGTAACAATTCACAACTTAGCAGGCATTAAAGTATTCAGACTACCGTGAAAGATTTCCTGTCAAACCCCTTTATGTTTCAAAAACTAAAATAAACATTCTTAATTCAGCATTGCTCAAACCTAAGTAGAGACTTGTTTCTGTACATTAAAATACTGATACAACACATGCAAGTTCCAAACGACAGTGGTGCAATTGCAAAAAAAAAAAAAAAAAGTCTCTGTTTAATTTTTCCAGGAACACTAATTTTTCTCTAGGTGTCTTTACCTTATTATGTATACACAAGCAGTGCAATTATTCAGTCAGGGTGTTTTGACAAAAGAATGTTTCAGAATACAGTGCCTTGAAATACCCCTTGAAATTTTCCACATTTTGTCATGTTTACAACCAAAAACGTAAATGTATTTTACTGGGATTTTGTGTGATAGACCAACACAAAGTGGCACATAATTGTAAAGTGGAAGGAAAATGATTTTTTTTTACAAATAAATATCTGAAAAGTGTGGCGTGCATTTGTATTCAGCCCCCTTTACTCTGATATCCTTAACTAAAATCAAGTAGAACCCATTGCCTTCAAAAGTCACCTAATTAGTAAATCGAGTCCACCTCTGTGTAATTTTATATCCGTATAAATACAGCTGTTCTGTGAAACCCTCAGAGGTTTGTTAGAGAACATTAGTGAACAAAACAAAATCATGAAGGCCAAAAAACACACCAGACAGGTCAGGGATAAAGTTGTGAAGAAGATGATTAAAGCAGGGTTAGGTTACAAAAGAAATATCCCAAGCTTTGAACATTTCACGGAGGACTGTCCAATCCGTCATCCGAAAATGGAAAGAGTATGGCACAACTGGAAACCTACCAAGACATGGCCGTCCATCTAAACTGACAGGCCGGGCAAGGAGAGCATTATTCAAGGAAGCAGCAAAGAGGCCCATGTTAACTCTGAAGGAGCTGCAGAGATCCACAGCTCAGGTGGAAGAATCTGATCACAGGACAACTATTAGTCATGCACTCCATAAATCTGGCCTTTATGGAAGAGTGGCAAGAAGAAAGCCATTGTTGAAAAAAAAACTATAAGAAGTCCCATTTGCAGTTTGCGAGAAGCCATGTGGGGGACACAGCAAACATGTGGAAGAAGGTGCTCTGGTCAGATGAGAACAAAATTGAACTTTCTGGCCTAAAAGCAAAACGCTATGTGTGCCGCAAAACTAACACTGCACATCACCCAGAACACACCATCTCCACCATGAAACATGGTGGTGGCAGCATCATGTTGTGGGGATGCTTTTCTTCAGCAGGGACAGGGAAGCTGGTCAGAGTTGATGGGAAGATGTATGGAGGCAAATAAAGGGCAATCTTAGAAGAAAACTTATTAAGAGTCTGCAAAAGACTTGAGACTGGAGCGGAGGTTCACCTTCCAGCACAACAACAACCCTAAACATACAACCAGAGCTACAATGGAATGGTTTAGGTCAAAACATATTCATGCGTTAGAATGACCCAGTCAAAGTCCAGACCTAAATCCGGCTGAGAATCTGTGGCAAGACTTGAAAATTGCTGTTCACAGACGCTCTCCGTCCAATCTGACAGAGCTTGAGCGAATCTGCATTCGACTCTCTAGATGTGCAAAGCTGGTAGAGGAATCCCCAAAAGGACTTGCAGCTGTAATTTCAGCAAAAAGTGGTTCTACAAAAGTACTGACTCCAGGGGGCTGAATACAAATGCATGCAACACTTTTCACATTATTTGTACATTTTGAAAATGTATAATTTTCCTTCCACTTTATATTTGTCCATCACATAAAATCCCAATAAAATACATTTACGTTTTTGGTTGTAACATGACAAAATGTGGAACGTCTCAAGGGGTATGAATACTTTTTCAGGGCACTGTACATATTAAAGTTGAACTTTAATTCAGCTATTTTGTGCAATGTGCTCAATTACTAAGGGTTGAGTCCAAAGAGTTGCATGCCACCTTACGGACTTATCACTTTAATTTACAATTTGCATTTCCACTGAGCATCATGAACATAGTTATTGCTATACTGCTAGCAAACTGACGCTGGACCTGTTGGTCTTATCTCTTTTATTATATCGGACATTTTTTATGGCAGCCTCTAAATCCACGAGGTGGCATGCACCTCATTGGACCTAAAGTGGAGCTCCAGTCTACCCTCAAAAAATGAAAAAATACTGTAGCTGCTGACTTTTAATACAAGAACAGTTACCAGTCCAGGGATCCACAGGTGCCCCCACCTGAGCCAGTTCTTCAATCGGCTTTGGGTGCAGGGGCCACCATCTTGAGTAAGGGAAACCAGCAGTTTCCTGCCCTGCTACTCTGTGTGACTGGTCCTGCAGTCATCTGTGTGTGTCCCAGAAAGCTGCGGGGGGGGCAGAAGGAGGGGCCAAAAGATCACCATGGCATTCTTACGTGGGAGTGGATACCTGCCCAAACCAGGTACCAGTTGCTCCCCAAAAAAAGTGCCAAATGGGGCAGTGGGGGGGAGAAGGCAAACAAGCGCAACTTCCTCATTTGGGTGAAGTTCCACTTTAATAGTATGCCATCTCATTTTACAAAGTGGCTAAACTCCTATAGTTCAGCTTTAAGAATAGTGAATACTTGAAGGGGCAACATGAGTGCCTACAATAAAATTCACACATCTGTAATTGGCAATTTAGGGTATTATTAGTATGTGATGGTCTACAAGTTTAAAACCGTTATTGGAAAAGAAACAATAGAACAGAAAAGATAGCATTCTTAGACATACAGCAGACCATAAATCAAAATCTTGTAAGTAGGTGGCACTGCGTGTAGAAACTGGAAATTTAGCTCCTGTTATTAGCCAAATCATTAAAAAAAAAAAATTCTGCAGCAGAGGATACATTTAAAAATCAAACATGCTGCTCCACTTTTAGTACAGTAGATCTGAATTTCAAAACAAGTTAGAAGACACTTTCAAATAAGACAAGAAACAACAGATTTAACTCACATTCTGATAGGTTTGTAGACTGCACATGGTGAACAGCCTGCTGAGAGTAGTAGTTATCATAGTATCCAGGAGCATTTTGGGAGTGCTGATAGCTGTTTTGCGGTTGCATGCTGTGCGTTTTCTCTTCTGAGGTTTGGAGGAAAGGAGGTCCAGGAGTACCATTACCATCCCTCTGGTGGTTTTGGCCGTGGCCTTGTGCTGAGGACTGGTTAAATGGTATGTTCATTCCCTGGTTGCCATACATTGGCATAGACTGTGGTGGTGATGTCATAGGTCCTGGTTCTGGGAGGGGCTCTGAGTTGTACATTGATGGGTGGTTTCCCGTAAACGGCATGTATGGCTGGTTGTAATACTTCCCTCTACAGTAAAGATAACAAGGCACATTTTAGTCATGTGACCATAAATGACTAACACCACTGTCATGTGACCAGTGCCAACCTTAGTATTCAAAAACAAGATGCATTTCTGCAAAAGGAGAACATCAAATTAAGAGTTCTTCACAAATGAGTGCTTGTTCCTAATTTATGATTAAAGTCTAACTGAACCTTCAGTTTAAATCCATTAAATACAGTCCAGGTGCATCGATACACAAGGCATTTAATGTCTTACAGTTCATTTTTCTTTCAAATACAGCCTGTCCCCTGCCAGCGATGCAAAGTAGGACACCTGTTCTCTGTGTGGAAGCAGTGTTCTCTCTGAGAAATCAGATAACCCCTGCTGAGTCAGACCTAAAGCTCTGCCATTCGCAAAGCTTATTTTCTGTAGTGATTGCAGGGCTATAGCTATAATGGGGGTGTGTAAGCAATCTCTGCTTCCACACAGAGAGCAAGGGTCCTACTCTGCACCAAGCTGGCAGGGAACAGGCTTTTCTACTCAAGCTTTGACTGATTTTTAAACACCACAAACTATAATACTTTGTACACTTCTGATATATCTGGAATGCATTTAGCTAGTTTAAAAGCTAAGGTTACCTTTAAAAAAAAATTATAAATGCACATACTGTATCTCTGCATGAAAAAAAAAAAGTGTATTTATTTTTTATCACAGGAGCCTGCAAAGTAATGCACCCCCGACTGCGGATGTAACGTTGGGCTCCTGAAAACACTTCCTCCACCTCTCTGCCCATACATCTGTAGGGCTTTCAGTTGCAAGAGGTGGAGGAAGAGTCAATGAACTACAAGTGGGCTGATAACCCCTTCGTAGTCCATTGAGAACTACAAGTCCGTCTGCCGCAGTGGCACACAGAACTTTTAGTTCATTCACAGATCTCTGTGAATTAATGATATGGCTGTGAGGGTGAAACGCCGCACAGCCGTGCAAAAAACATAAAAAGTTGTCATGGGCAGACTTTGCACCATGGTACATTCTAAATATGGGTGTTACATGTAGCATGGTGCAAAAGGTGAACTTCGGACTTAAATGAAAGTTCAACTGGGTTTAAACAACAATATATTCAAATAGACCTTTGCCATTCAAGTTTGAAATCTGATATACAATGGTATTAAAATTTTTGTATTCAGTACACCATAAAATGAGGGGCAACAGAGCACAGATGTTTTTCCTTTAAAAAAAACACACAAACCGCTACCACTGGGACCCTTACTTATTGCTGTAGCGGAGTACTGTGGTGTCTGTCATGAAACCATGCCCCTTATAAAGCCAGCATTTGAACCACTCCACAAACTTGCATGCCTCTTTAACCGTTTGTTTCTCTTCCACACACATATGTACTATGCTCCTAAATTAAATCTAAGATTCATTACACTTTCTATAGATGTTTTGACACAGAGAATGAACCAGCAAAGAATCGCAGACTGACAACTAAGGACGGACAAATTAATTTACAATCCTCAATGTCCAACAATAACTTTATTTCTACTTTACAGCTGTATTTACATCTATGTAAGTGTTGTATTGTGTTAACACACACAATTTACTGTGTGTCATTGCATGCATGCCAACCTGCAATATTTATTATTTATTTCAGGTACTTATATAGCGCCGTCAATTTACGCAGTGCTTTACATATATATTATACATTCACATCAGTCCCTAACCCTCAAGGGGTGTACAATCTAAGGTAATATACTTACCTTAGCACTAACTACTAGCTAAAAGCAATATACTACATATGTGTTTTTCATTCATTCGGAACGACAACCCAATGCCCACATACAGTAAAAACAAATGCACCCGCCATACAGTGCATCACAATGCCCAGATGTGAATGTACATGAGTTGCATCTATGAGCACTGTCTTGTATTCAAAGGTGCTTTTTTTTTTTTCTATATATATCGTTCAGAGCCCAATATGAACGGGCTGCTTGAATGTGGCATTTACCAATGCAGGTAAACAAGCGCATACAATACATGTGCATGGGAGATGTTAGAGGCAAGAGTGCAGGTGTATGCCCTTTTTCATATACATGCCTACTTGACTAACTTGGTACAACAACCTTTCAGTTCCTGCTCATGTGACTGAGGCGGTGATGATAGCATCCTTCATTCAAAAAGCTGACAACAGAACTAACAGCGTTACATCCTGACTCAGGACATTGTGTGATCTGCTTATCACAGCTGGTATGATGTGGATCTGACTTCAGAGTACACTTTTAATTTTTGAAGTGTATGACATCCATCAACACGTCGGACCCCTCAACATTGCTCTCCTTTTCATTCTACCCAGCTCTACAGCCTTCACCAAAGAGGGCTTCCTTTAGTTCACTAGAACAGTTGTCCCCAGACATTGGAAATCTGCTGCACCACCTTACGCATGTGAATTGGTGGATGAAATGCAGCTTCTGTAAAGAGTGGAAGGACGGACTACGCATTTATACATCAACAGAATGCATTTTGGCATCATGGGACCGATATGTAGACGTATGCCGCCTGACCCCCCCCCCCCCCCCCCCCGACCTCCCCACCCTTCTATCTATCCCAGTTATTCCCGTTTTCTAATGCCATCTTCTTCTATTTCTCTCTAGTCAATTAGCAGAACACAAGTGTATGCTGGCATCAAAGTAGAACTGTGTGTATTTACTTTATATGGTTGCCTGAGAATATTCAGAAATCTTTTACTGTACGTTTCTAAAATTCTTTAGGGATCATTATGTCTGTATTTAGCTCCTGTACAGCCTAAGCTTCTTCCAGCTAAATATGTAGGAATACCTATTAGTATATGTTCCAAATAAACTTAAAATCAGATTAAAATTTTCAATAACACATCTTTAAAAAATTCTAGAGGACGTGTGATGTCATATTATAGGGCCCGCTGTCCTTAGCACTAACTACTAGCTACAGGCAGTATATAGACCAGAAGCACAGGGTAATCCTCAGCTGGTGTCACCCCTAGGTCTGAGCATATGTGTTATACCAGCAATGGGCAAACTACGGCCCGGCGGACCTTTTAATCCGGCCCGTGGAGCTAGGCTCCCGCTAGGCTCCTCTCACAGTCCGCCCTGAAGACCGGTGTAGCATGAAAATCTGTCTCCTATGAGGATCTGTCCCCCTCGACGTATATCTGCGCATGTGCCGGAGATCGCCGATCGGCTGCTAATGCCTGAAACTGGCACATGCGCAGATACGTCGAGGGGGACAGATCCTCATAGGAGACAGATTTTCATGCTACACCGGAACGGCGCGGGAACACGGCGAGAGGAACGCGTGGAGCAAAGGTAAGTGAATTGACACAGGGGGGACTTGGGGACTTAATATGGGGGATGAATTAATATGGGGAATGAATTACTATAGGGGGGATGAATTACTATATGGGGGGATGAATTACTATATGGGGGATGAATTACTATATGGGGGATGAATTACTATGGGGGATGAATTACTATGGGGGATGAATTACTATATGGGGGATGAATTACTATATGGGGGATGAATTACTATATGGGGGATGAATTACTATATGGGGGATTAATTACTATATGGGGGATTAATTACTATATGGGGGATGAATTACTATATGGGGGATTAATTACTATATGGGGGATTAATTACTATATGGGGGATGAATTACTATATGGGGGATTAATTACTATATGGGGGATTAATTACTATGGGGGATTAATTACTATGCTTACTATGGGGGAATATTACTATACTTACTATGGATGACACATACACATCATTCATCTACTCTTGGTCCGGCCCCCGGGTCCAATATATGAATCCATTGCGGCCCTCAAGTCAAAAAGTTTGCCCACCCCTGTGTTATACCTATCGCAAGGTAGACAATGTACAGACATCAAAGGGTAAACTGATTATACCAACCCATGTCGTGGCACCTCTTCTGCTTCCTCCTCCTCAAGCTGTAGCTGTTTTTCCTCTTCTGTGTTTAATACCTGCAGCCAGAACACAGCTTTGTTTAATATATTTTTTAAGAAAGATGCAGTCATCGGATGATCCCATATCCCTACACATCTGAACTGTTTCTATAAAAAATAAAGCACAGCAATCAGTAATCTGGGTAAGAGGCAACAACATATTTTGGTAGTTTATTTTTCTTGAATTACCTCTGTTACATCACTGTTATACTATTCTAAAAGTTTTGTTTTCTGTTTGTATTATCAGCTACTTTTGTATAATTGCATTCACATTCAATGCTTAAAAATGTTGCCAGCCATGATTTTATGTTTCATTCTGGCCTACTCATTCAGGACACTTTAGCAAGAGCTTTAAGGCGGCTTCATGATACCCCAGTGCGGTCCCACTGCGCTTTCGGCAAAGCACAGCTAACCCGTGGTTTTCATTAGTGGACCTATTTAGCGTGAGGTCTCCCTCCTTTTGTTCTTTCCTTTTCCTCTCTTGGCTGACTGACTGATATTCGTGGCTGGAACATACCCTGCACAGGTGAGCACATAAGATGTCATTTTGGGGCTCAGATTTAATCTAAAAGTTAAAACTGAGCTTTTTTTTATGGACTATAATTTTTGGATTTATACGTTTGTAGGACATTAAAGTGGTTATTGAAGTTTTTCCATGGTAGACTTTGGATGGTCCCCTCCTTTTATTTCTGTAATTGAAAATACAACATATACCCCTGCATGACAGGATATCTCTGAACAGTTTAAGGTGGATTTCATTCACAATGATTTCCTGTGCCCACATGATAAGGATATTTCTGATTGTTATACCTATGATTGTTTGTTATAGATCCCCAGAGGGGAGAACTATTACTTTACCCTACTATCCATCTGGTTATTGGATCACAGTGAAATCATTTGCAAAGCTTAAAAATCCTTGGGTGGATTTGTTACAATTTTAAGGTAGGTTGGTTTGAAGTGGACTGTTTAGCACACCCAAGTCATATCTTTGAACGAACTATTTTTTTTTATTTCCTACATTGTAGACTTTTGTCATGATGGGACGGCAACTGTTAAAATGTACTTTTTGAAAATGTTTTTGGAGAATAGGGAGCCCAGATTAGCTGGTTGTAAGCTTTTGGGCAGGCTGTGGATGCTATTTCAGGTACCGAACTGTTACTAACCTCTCTTGAATGGTATACATTGAAGAACTAAAAACTATTATTAATCAGAATTCTATAAAATATATATATAAATAAATTGGGGGGGGGAGCACTGTGGCACCCGGCTATGTGGGTCATCACTGGGTGCCTCGCCTTTCCTTCCCCCACCTTGGGTGTGGTAGACCAATCCTTTAGAACTGGCCAGTAAAATATTAGTTGGCTATTACTAATTGAATTTAGATTATATTAATCTATATTAATGCTATTTTTTCAAATTTTGATGTATAGTTTTTCTCCTGATAAAGTAGACTTTATCCAAGGAACGCATCGGGCGAGCTTCTGCTATGTCATTTTGTGAACTTGATGCATCTTACAAGTGAAATATGTATTTTATTATGGTAAACTGTTGCAACAATTTTAATGAAACTGATGTTGTAATATGATCTATTCATTGTATTTGGATATAATAAAAATTAATGTTACTGTATAATGTTGTGCCTCAAAAGTCTATTAGACTTCGATTATGTAAAAAAATATGTGTGTGTAACTCGCGAGCCACTAAAATATTCCTCTGGATTGCTAACATTTATCACATACGCAAACTGTGTAAAAAAGACCATATAACTAAAAAATGTTGCGCTCCCAATCTCTAACAAACTTATAAATTAGTGACTTCAAATTATATATCGATTAAAAACAAACAATATACCATACATAAATAAATGAATATCAAGTTAAATGTGATGTGAATCAAATAAAATTAAAAAAAAAAAAAAAACAGTCCCATTACTCAAATAATAGTCCACAAAAAGGAATTTGTGATGACGTGATCTAAACACACCAAATGTGACTTTTCGTGAATCCTTAAATCATTAAAGATGTGCGCTCACCTCCTTACAAGCCTAACAGATAGGCTTAATAGGCTTGTAATGTAAGGCTTGGGTGCAGCTGCTCAGCCATGGAAACTCATTCCATGAAGCTCTCTACGCACTGTTGTGCTAATCTGAAGGCCACATGAAGTTTGGAGGTCTTTAGCTATCGACCCTGCAGACAGTTGGCGACTTTCGCGCACTCTGCGCTTCAGCATGCGCTGACCCTGCTCTGTCATTTTACGTGGCCTACCACTTTGTGGCTGAGTTGCTGTTGTTCCCAGTTGCTCCCACTTTGTTATAACACCACTAACAGTTGAGCGTGGAATATTTAGCAGGAAGTTAATGTCACGGATGGACTTATTGCACAGGTGGCAACCTAAAACTGTACCACGCTTGAATTCACTGAGCTCCTGAGAGCAACCCATTCTTTCACAAATAATTGTAGAAGCAGTCTGCATGCCTAGGTGCTTTTATACACCTGTGACCGTAGAGTGATTGTAACACCTAAATCCAATGATTTGGAGGGGGGTGTCCCAATACTTTTGGCAATATAGTGTATGTCCAATTGACAGTTGTCGAAGACATTTCCACTAGCTTTGGAGAAATCTCTTACTTCCTGCTTACTATCTGGAACAGGAAGTGATGGGCAATCTCTCCAAAAGACACAGACAACAAAAAAAAAATTAAAAAAATTAAAAAAAAAAACTGACAGGGCTCTTCAGCACTCCCTGTTCTATCCAAAGCTATAACAAAAAGTTTTGGCTTTTTATACACTTAAATGTGACTTATTTTTTGATACTTTAACAGGATTTACTTCATTTTTGTTTTGCCAATTTTCTCAAGCTGCTGGTGTGGTTGGGTGGGGGGGTAAGTATTTATGTAAATGCAATAAATCTTATGTCAGCTGACATTGCCAGACAATTCTAGGGAAACTGTTTGGCAAGGTTGGACTTTTTAGGAGTATACAGCTGCAAAACTGGAAAAGTAAGTGTAGTCTGTGTCATGAAGAAAAAAAGCTGGTGCCCCAAAATTAAATTCTGAAACAGCTGAGGGCAACCAAGGAGTGCGACAGAGCTGCATATGGCCCAGAAAACCCCAATTTGACATGCATGCGCTATAGTAGCACACAATGTGCAAGAGTTTCACATCTTCTCAGCAATGGTTTACTATATAGGTTTGCTTACTCACCTTGTTCAGTAACTCTCTGCTGTCATCGTTAAGAGGCTCATGGGAAAATTTGCAGTTGTCTCCTTGGTAGCACTTTGCTCCAGTATGGTAAAATTTGCAAGGAAATTCATGTACGAAGCAGAAAAGTTAAGTAAAATAAATTTAGGAACAAGTTGTCAACTTGCAGTGTAATTTTGGTAGCATACCTATTCCTCTCCAAGATCATTTCCAGCCATTGCCGCATATGGAAGTAAAGGGTAATCTCTCTCTCATATTGAATATTGTTTAGTAATCAATGTTAATATAAACTGTATTTAATCATGTACTACTATAATGACCATTATCCAAGCAACACTTGTAATTATGGTATATACACCAGTAATTAACTCTACAGGAATTATATGATACATTTGTACCTGATAAGATTTCCCCACACGTCTCTTTTCTTTGTCTCCTTGGGTATTTGGTTCTCATGCAGATGTGGCATTGCAAAAGCAAAAACAAGAACAAATAGGCCTGCTTTCTGTCTGCCCCTTGCCACCCCCTTTCCCCAAACACAAACGGCTTTAAAAGAATAAACAAACCTTGTTACTGTGGCCCGGTCTCCTACACTTGCAAGAGGCACATGTGACGTTACCATGCTTCCTGACAAAGTTAGAAGCTTGAACTCCCTCAAGTGTACTCCAGCCTTTCAAGGGTGCATTCTCATGGAATCTCAAGCTGCACAGTGATGTCATCCTTTTTCTCCTGAATGTGTTGGAGGCAGGGGCCAAGATCTTTTTTTTTTTTTTTTTTTTTTTTTTTTTGGGCGATTTACAAATGGTATATTGAAGCCATTTGTGGTAGGAGCAACAGTAGACTGGCAAAACAGCGGAACTTCCATTTGCCATAGAAGGTCCACTCAAAAGTATCAGTCTCATATAGTCAATAATTACTTAAATGGTACCTCCATTTCTAAATTCACCCACTGCATCAAACAACCTCTGCATCAAACAACCTCTACAGTGGCACTGAAAGGTTTTTAACCTTTTGTACCCCTCTACTGAGGGTATAAGATTGACCTTCCTCTACTGAGAGTATAAGTTTGGCTCTAATTTCATTCAGGTTTACATTACCGTAACAGACTTTATCTCCAATGGATGTATCACAAACAAAAAACTTCACAGATGGTAGAAGCTTATATATCAGACTTTCATTAGATGGCAGCACTGCAGCTGAACCCTAAAAAAAGGCTCTTTTAATACATACTAATGCAGTGCTAACTGAACACAAATATGTGAAGTAACAGAAATAAATAAAATAAAAAAATCATACTTGTGCCCTGAAAGGATATCATGCATATAGATGCATTTCTCTCCTCTTGTGCAATATCCTTGTATATAAAACTTACAAATTTCTTTCTTCTTTTCTATTTCTGCATCATGATCAAACTTACACTGCTCCCCCTAAAAGAAACAAAAAAAAAAGCAAAAAATATTATTAAAGTTAGGCAAACACAGTACTTCTCCATACATCTGCACTGTATGGCTGACACTAGAGTGTATGACCCAAAAAAAAAAAAATGAAACCTTACTTCCCAGGTTCTCAAAACTCTGGAGAGCACAGTCAGCAGCCCCCATCTTACACATTCAGCACACAATGGTCAGCACATCCCTCCATGCCTCAGGTCTTCAAAGTGTGGCCTGGGGGCCAAATGAAGCCCTTTGCTTACTTTTATCTGGCCCTTGGAGCATTAGTTCCTCCACTGTCAGCAACAGTGGAGCATAGTTCCTGGCACTGACACCAACCATGGGGCACTATTCCACCCACTGACACCAACGATGCGGCAACCGTTCCTTCTACTGACACCAATGACGGTGCACTATTCCTTCTACTGACATCAATGATGGTGCACTATTCTTCCCCTTAATACCAAGGATGAGGCACTATTCCTCTCACTGACACCAACGATGGGGCACTATTCTTTCCCCTAATACAAAAGATGGGGCACCGTTCTTTCCCTTAATACTAAAGATGGGGTACTATTCCTCCCACTGACACCAATAGGGCACTATTTCTTCTCCAAGTACCAAAGTGGGGACACAATTTACTCCCACTGATGCCAGGACACTTTCAACTCCTGCTGGTTACATTTCAGCCCCCCCTAAAGTTTGATGGACAATAAACTGGCGCTTTGTTTAGAAAGTCTGGAGACCCTGTGCACTATGCTAATAAAACTTCACATTTATTTAGTAAGTTAAAAACAGTTTAGCCAAAAAAAAAAAAAAAAATGTAACCACTTCCCCTCTCACACCTGTTCACCCCCCAGGGACCAGAGCAATTTTTAACTTCTGCTGTGGACCTGTTTATTCAGTGATAACTTTGTCATTACTTAAGATAACATAATACATATATTGTTTTTTTAAAAGACAAACAAGGTTTTCTTTTGGTGAATATAGTCTTGCAACAATGTTATTTTTGCACAATCCTTACATAACTAAATGCAACAAAACTAAAAAAAAAATGCACTATTTTTGAGCAGTGTTTGTTTAAAAATAAACAGTGTTAGTGCATATGAAAAGTGTGCATTTTATTCTGTAATTTGTCCTGTTTAAGATGGCACTAAAATTATGATTCTGGTACAAAGCAAAAGTTATTTGCAAATGAAGTAAAAAATTTTTTCAATTTTGCAGTCAATGTGAAACGTGTAAATAAAAGTTAAAGGTGTAAAAATATTAACAGCTTCTCATCCGCCCTATAGCAGCAATACTGCTACAGGGCGGCACAGGTGTGCAAAACCATGTATATATACACTTAATTTTGACTCTCCACCATTCGCAGCCTTGGCTGTCAATCACCGGGTCCCAGCCGATGCTTACTCACTGGCACCCGGTGATCGAGGAGCATTACCGTCGGAGGGAGATAACTGTATGTAAACAATACAGTTCTCTCCCCCCGTCAGCTCCTGCACAATGTTTTGCATGGCTCTGCATAGCAGAGCCCTGCAAAGCAGTGTGCTCACAGTGAAGCACACACAGCAAAACAGCACACAGTTAACCCTTTGATTTCCCCATATGTTAACCCCTTCCTGCCCAGTGCCATTAGTACAGTGTGAGTGCTTTTTATTAGCACTGATCACTGTATTGGTGTCACTGGGGATGTCAGTGGCACCAAGTGAGTCCAACCCCCCAGTGTCAGAATGCCCACAGTCCCGCTATATGTCGCTGATCGCCGCCATTACTAGTAAAAATAAAAAGTAAAAAAAATAATCCCAGTATATATACTATTTGTGGGTAAAAAAGGAAGTGAATTTCATTTGGATGCAGCGTTACATGACCGTGCAATTGTCAGTTAAAGAAACGCAGCGCCATAACGCAAAAAATGGCCTGGTCAGGAAGGGGGTTAAATCCTCTGGAGGGCAAGTGGTTAATGAACAAAGCAAACAAAAAAAGTTTTAATTACTAATAGTTTATGATATAGAAATGAAAAAAAATAAAATCAGCTGGAAATAGTAATTAAACGGAGGAGAATAACAAGTTAATTAGGGCCAATTAGAGTAAATTAGGGGTTAATAAGGGGTTAAACAGCGGAACATTTAATTAAAAAAACAAAACTTTTTTTTACTTGACAGGTTGCTTTTAACTGACTTCATCTGCAGATGGAAGTTCATCCCTTTGATCTGTAGATGAATAGACAGAAAGATACAAAATGAAACATTAATTCTTTGTACCTTTCCGGTTTTTTGGTTGAGCAATGTTGACATTGCCAGACTGCTTTTTTAATTTCTGACTATTCCAATTGTCAAGACCTTCTCTGTGTACTCTGAAATGCAGCTGTCATTAATCAGAGCTGAATTGCTGTGTACAGGGACAAGGGGGAGTCCCGGAAGCAGGGCAGAAGGATTGGATGTACCACACACACCCTATGCAATATGGCAAAATTTTTTCAGTTAAAGTCTGCAACTGGTTAAATATGAAAAGTGGAAAGATGCTAATCTTATGTAAAATGCAATAACTCATAATCACACAAATTCAGTTTTCTCTGATCCCATTCTGTATGTGATGATTTCTTTCCGAACCTATAAGCTGCTGCATTTAGCTCATCATCACTGCTGTCTGCAATATTCAGTGGCTAATTGTTTTGCATTAAGCATGATCTATGAACTTTGCATACAGCAGTGAGAAGATCACTGTTGTTTATGAAAAAATATATGCATTAAGAATAGAACCCGACTGGTAGCCAAGGGTCACAAACTTGACTCTTTTTTGTAAGTATGCCTATTGGTTTACCTTCACACATCGCCTTTCCAGGAAATATTTGCAGATCTGTTTTCCATTGCGTTCCACTGTGTGATGATTAATGAACTCCTGACTCATGGTCACCCATTTCTTAGGTTTATGATCCTGGAGAGAAAGAGCACATTGCAGTTTTCAGTTAACTGACAAAGGACTATTGGAATGATCCACTTAAATTGGTGTAAATAGAAGTGCACTTTTTTGTCTAGCACACCTTAAATAAAATTACTACATGACCAGCTGTGCCATGCTAAAGAGGACACAATAATAGAGGATTTAAATTCGTTTTAAGCATCAATACACAATTATGGCCAGATGTAAGCAATTAAGAGACACGGGTGTACAAAAGTATGTTTTTTTTTATTCTCTCACAGAAAGTGTTATATGCTTTAATTTAGTTTATGTTATAACGTTTATTCAGTGCATAATAGAGGGAATATTAAAAGTGGTTCTCCCCTTAAATATGGGGCAAGAGAAGAGTGCATGTGTGGTAGTCTCCCTCATGTTAGCATTCCATACCTTGCAGCTGGGAGGCTGTTTTATCTGCTGATGGAAATGATGCTTGCTGAAGTTGGGCTGGCTGATAAAGCCTATTCAACCCCACGATCAGATACATGATGGCCTGCTCCTTCCAAATCATAGCAAGATTTTGCTTTTTCAGAAGTTCAATTAGTTGACCTGTGGTACACCCCCTCTGCCTCAGCACACTAGCAAATGCAATAGTTTTGGTGGTCAAACAATGAAAATAAGCAAAAACTCCTACAAATCTTGGTCCGTATCTGCTAAAAGGATGCTAAGGCCAACAAGCAGCAGAATACATAATGGCCAACCTGATTTAGGCCTCATTCACACAATACATTCAGAAAAACTGATGAAAACTGACACAGATTTCACTTGCAGAGACACGAGTTTACATCAGTTTTCATGCACGTTTCAGTGAGTTTTATACACAATGCGGATTCCTGCACAGAAGCAATCCAAACATACTAGTGTTGTGGTGTGAACAGGGCACATAAAGAACAATAGTTTTTTTTTTGTGCCTTTGCAGAATGCCTGCAGAAAAACTCACAGCTCTGCACATGGTGTGAACGAGGCTTCAAAGAAAACCTGTCACCAAGTTGAATGCTTTAAAACGAAAAGGAGAAGTTATATTATGCAATAGATTTATTACAAGGTTACAGATTGAACACCTAAACTACAGACGTTTAACTATATAAAACCTGTTTAACCATAATGCCAAATAGCCTGCATTTACTTTTTACTTAATCGGTTTTTATTCTCCTTATCTTAGTGGATTTTGCAGAAACAGCACACTGGGCATTAACAAATAAAGCAGGGGATACGGGGATATAAATGCCTTTCTAAAAAATAGTTCTCACCAAGCAAAAATATATACAAAATGCTCTAGTACAAGTGACATGCTACATCAGCTTCTGATTCATCTGGGCCTCACCTCTTGATAGCCATCTTGATAATAGGATCCTTTGTGTCCTCCTCGGCCTCGACCTCTATCCTTACGTATCATCATCTTCTTATGAGGACCACCTCCACGACTATAATAATAACCTTTTTGTTGCTGCTCACCTTATGGGAGGAAACAAAATAATAAACAGCATTTGTAAATATACAATGGATTTTAGGTTTTGTAAAATTTATGTTGACTCAAAAGCCATTTAGCATATGAGAACCTAGCTAAAAATGTTTATTGAATAACAACACTTTATAAATTGAGGCCTTTTCTGTTTTTTGATTGTATTCTCTACCTGGGAAGATGTATGCCTGATTATTCTCCTGATATTGTTAAGTATCTTCCTGTTTGATGTCTGTGTATTTCTCCCTATTGTATCTCCATTTGCTCCCTAGTACTATCTGTATTTGCTGTATGCTCTGAGCTTTCCAATTAATATTATGGAAGAAAAAAAAAATGGAGTCCTTCAATATAAGGAAAAGCATCTGCATATACAGTGCTCAGCATAAATTAGTACTCCCCAACAGATGTGTCCAAAAACTTTCACTTTGCTTTCAAAATCAACATTTTCTATGGGGACACTATACTACAAAATACTCCCACAAATACAGGCCATTGATTGCAAACATGATTTGTCAGTTTGCACACACAAAAAAGTATTTTTCCTAACAAATGCATGCAAGACTATGTTACAAAAATGAATACACCCCAATGAAAATCTTAAGAGCAAAGCTAAATTTTAGACAAAATCCTAACAAGAACTCAACTACAGGTGAACTTAAGTATTCGTTAAACAGGTGTCCAGCAGACAGTTGATTATAAAACGGTGTTACGAAACAAAGAAAACCCCTTCCCATTTCATGCTATCAGCAATGGCACCACACTGAAGAGAAATATCACAAGAAAAAAAAAAATTTATTTACACAAGAAAGGTGAAGGCTACAAGAAGATCAGCAAAGCTTTACTTATCAGTCAGAATACTGTAGCAAAAGTGATAACAAAGATGGAACTGCAACCATCTCACAGAGACGTCCATGCCATCCACAGAAATTAACACCTCAACAGGAGTGTTTTCTGATGAGAAGGGGTGAAGAAAATCAACATGCAAGTTCACGGCATTTAGCTAAAGAAAGCCAAACTGCAGTGATTGTTTCTCACAATACAGTGTACACTGCAGAGGAAGATTTCACACTGATGTGAATGTACAATATATATGTAAAGCGCTGCGTAAATTGACGGCGCTATACAAGTACCTGTAATCAATAAATAAATTACATGCACAGGTGTTGTCCATGAAGGAAGCCTCTCCTAAAGCCCATGCACCAAAAAAAAAAAAAAAAAAAATCACACGTAGAATTTTCCAAGGCCCATACTGAAAATGACTATTGGTATTCTATACTCTGGAGTAATGATATCAAGATAACTGGTTTCGGAACTGATGGCTTCAAGACTGTATGGTGTCACAAAGGTGAGGAGTACAAAGAAAAATGCATGGTGCCTACAGTGAAACGTGGTGGCAGTGTCGTCCTGTGGGGCTGCATGAATGCTGCTGGTGTCGGAGAGCTGCATTTCATTGATGGTATCATAAAATTCACAGATGTACTGCTCTATTTTGAAAGAAAATATGCTCCCATCACTCCGTGCCCTTAGTCGTCATGCACTTTTCCAACATGAAAATGATCCAAAACACACATCTAAGGCCACTGTTACATTTCTGAAGAACAGCAGAGTGAAAGTGATTGAGTGGCCAAATATGTCTCCTGATCTGAACCAAATTGAACACCTATGGGGAATTCTGAAGAGACAAGTTGAGCATCACTCTCCATCCACCAACCAGGCTCTAAAAGAGGTAGCTTTGAAGACTGGAAAAAGATAGATGTTGCAATATGTCGCCAACTTGTACATTCCATGCCTAGAAGACTTGTGCCTAGAAGAAGTGCTGTCCTGACAAATCATGAAGGTCATACAAAATACTGGATGGAGTCAGTTTTATTGTGGGGTGTATTCATTTTTGCATCAACTAATTTGAGTAAAACTGAAGATTTTTTAATCTAAGTTTTATTATTAACCTTACTTTCATGTAATGAGCTGAACAAATGTTCTATGAAAGTCAGTGTTGTCAAAAGTTTGGAAATTGTTCTTGTATTCATTGAGATATTGATTAAAATCTTACTTTTCAAAAGGGGTGTACTCATTTATGCTTTTAATATTTTTCTTCTAATAGTCTTTTCTTGTCATAAAATCCATACTTTATTAACTTCCTGCTTTTCTGCTCACCCCTCTCCCCATAGAGATGGAAGATTCTTTAGGCGACACTGTGACATGATGGTGGCAGAACACATCTGCCATCTTTGTGTAGAGAGATTACCTGTTGCAAGTTCCTGTTATGTACGCTTGTGTCCCGTGAGTGACATCATACCAAAGAAGTAACTCCTTCCCAAACCAACAAAAAGTTTGGGAGGAGGGGGGAACAAACGGTCTCCGATAAAGGCAGCTGTTGGTGCCTTTACAACACCAATCTGATTGTCTCCCCAACAATATTTAAAAATATACTTTGGCTCAATTCCTAGGAAACACATGATGGATATAGGTGACATTGATGTATGTGCAGTAAAGTGGGCATAGCAACAGGCGGACTCTTAGTCTCAGTTCACACTAATGTGGGGTGGTATTTTCAGCTATTCCTGTGCATTTCCCGGACTGCATCATAATCGTACTCCGTTTACGCAAACCGCTGCAGGTGTCAATGTTCAATTAACGACACCCCAGCAGAGCGATTGGCTGAATCGGATCGCATGGGTATGAACACCCATATGATCTGATTCCAGTGCAAAAAAAAAAAAAAAAAAAAAAGGTGCAGTATGTACCTTTTTCATGCAGGTGCAGTGCAATTTGAGCTATACAAAATGCCCAAAGCGCACTGCAAAGAATTGCATGTGATTTGAACAGGAATGCGGTTCCAATCTGAATGACACGTGGCTCTCAGTGTGAACCTAGACTTATTCCTCTACTGAAAATTTTGTCCGCCTCTGACATGTAACGACTTAGCTGGTCTAGAAGTATCATTGATGTCTCCTGTACCCCTCTGAGCCCTCTTACATAAGCATGAACAATTTCTAAATGTTAAGTTATCTTTCCCAGCTTCATATTTTGTGATCTTTTATATGAATAGCACTGCACAGGAAGGAGCTGGTAGGGTTTACAATTTTATTTTAGTTTAGACCTGTTAAGCAACAATGTAGGCCCTGCAAGTCAGATATTGCTTATTGTGTTCTCTTTTTATATGTCCTTTTAATTAAATTTTTATTATTGTACCATTGCAAAAAGGGGTCTTAAAATGTAAAAAAATAAAAAAACACTATGCTAACAAAATGTAAATATATATATTATACATATTAACAGCTGTTCATACACTCTAGTCAATGAGAAACTGTTGTGCTGGTGGTATATACACTGATAAGAATGCCAACATTCACAAGGAGGATCTTAACTTTCTACAAAGCATCCTAATCTAGCATCTAGAGCTGGAAGCCTCAACATGCACTAGGTGGTTTTAGAGAATAGTGATACCAGTAAAGGGTGTTTTGTAGCTGAGCAGTATTAATAGATGCTCTACAGATCAAGTATCCAATAGCTGTCACCTGCCACTTGATAGGATATACCATTCAATAAGAACACTGCAGCACACAGTACAGTGTAATGACAATAGCTATTCAGATAGAGTAGAATGGATGCGCAGTATCATTCAAAGCTGTGCGCGTGCCACTGAGAATTCTAAGGACTCCCAGGCCATATAAAACTAATCCTCATATGATGAAGACCACTACTGCAGCAAACTAAATGACTCAGTTATAAAAACTGGAATGTGAAGTGAAAGGTAATAGAGTCAACATCAGCAAGCTGGTAACACCAGTTACTGTTTGTACATTTCTTTAGTTTAATTTGAAAATTTTTACCTAGTTCTCCTCCTTTCATACCCATCTTTTTATAAGGGGGTTCTCCCATGCTTGAGCTTTCCTTTGATTGTCTGTAGTGTTTCAGCTGCTCTGCATAGTCCTCCTCATCTTCATCATTGTAGTTCCCATCACTGTAATTACTGTAGTCGTCATAACTGGAAGCATTCTTTTTGTGGGATCCCATGTAACTCCCAGGTCCATGGCCATGCTGTAAGACAGTCGACACTGTTAGTAAATTGGTGTTTCTTCAAGTTATAGTACCAATATATTAACCACTTGAGATCCAGAAGGTTTTACCCCCTTCATGACCAGGCATTTTTTACGATTAAGCACTACGATACTTTAACTGGCAATTGTGCGGTCATGCACCACTGTACTCAATAAAAGTTAGATCACTTTTTTCACACAGAGCTTTATTTTAGTGGTATTTGATCACCACTGGGCTTTTTTATTATATAAATGAAAAAGGACCGACAATCTAGATAAATTATATCTATTAATAAAATGTATCTATTAAAAATAAAATCAAATATCTTCAAAAATTTAGGTCAAAAGTGTATTACATGGCAAGAAAAAAAAATATTAATAAGTGTATATTAATTGGTTTGTGTGAACATTAAAGTACCTACACACTAGGTATATATACTGGAATACAGTTGCAAGAAAAAGTATGTGAACCCCTTGGGATTACGTGGAGTTTTGCATGAATTGGGCATAAAATGTGCTCTGATCGTCATCTAAGTCACAACAATAGAAGAACACGGTCTGCTGAACATAATACTACACAAACATTAGATGTTGCCATGGTTTAATTGCACATAACATGTAAACATTCACAGCGCAGGGAGGAAAAAGTATGTGAGGCCCTAGCTTAATGACTTCTCCCAGAGCTAATTGGAGTGAGCCAACCTTGACTCCAATCAGTGTGATATTGGATGTGTTGCCGACAGCTGTCCTGCCCTTAAAAAACACACACCTGTTTTGGGTTTACTGGTTTCAAGAAGCACTGTCTGATGTGAACCATGCCTCGCAGAAAAGAGCTCTCAGAAGACCTACGATCAAGACTTGTTGACTTGCATGAAGCTGGATAGGGTTACAAAAGTATCTCCAAAAGCCTTGATGTTCATGTGTCCATGGTAAGACAGACTGTCTACAAATGGAGAAAGTTTAGCACTGTTGTTACTCTCCCTAGGCGTGGTCGTCCTGGAAAAATGACTGCAAGAGCACAGCGCAGAATGCTGCATGAGGTAAAGAAGAATCCTAGAGTGTCAGCTAAAGACCTACAGAAATCTCTGGCACATGCTAACATTTTTGTTGACACATCTACAATAAGGAAAACATTAAACAAGAATGGAGTACATGGGAGGACACCACGGAGGAAGCCATTGCTGTCCAAAAAGAATATTGCAGCACGTTTGAAGTTTGCAAAAGAGCACCTGGATGTTCCACAGCACTACTGGCAAAATATACTGTGGACAGATGAAACCAAGATTGAGTTGTTTGGGAAGAACATACAACACTATGTGTGGAGAAAAAAAGGCACAGCACACCAACATCAAAACCTCATCCCCACTGTAAAACATGGCGGAGGGAGCATCATGGTTTGGGGCTGCTTTGCTGCCTCAGGGCCTGGACGGATTGTCGTCATTGATGGGAAAATGAATTCCAGAGTTTATCAAGACATTTTGCAGGAAAACGTACGACCCTCTGTCCGCCAACTGAAGCTCCGCAGAGGATGGGTGATGCAACAGGACAATGACCCAAAGCATACAAGTAATTCAACAAAACAATGGCTGCAACAGCACAGAATACGCCTTCTGGAGTGGCCCAGTCAGAGTCCTGACCTCAACCCGATTGAAATGCTGTGGCATGACCTTAAGAGAGCGATTCACACCAGACATCCCAAGAATATTGCTACACTGAAACAGTTTTGTGAAGAGGAGTGGTCCAAAATTAATCCAGATCGTTGTGCAGGTCTGATCTGCAACTACAGGAAACGTTTGGTTGGGGTTATTGCTGCCAAAGGAGGGTCAACCAGTTATTAAGTCCAAAGGTTCACATACTTTTTCCTCCCTGCACTGTGAATGTTTACATGTTATGTGCAATTAAACCATGGCAACATCTAATGTTTGTGTAGTATTATGTTCAGCAGACTGTGTTCTTCTATTGTTGTGACTTAGATGACGTTCAGAGCACATTTTATGCCCAATTCATGCAAAACTCCACGTAATCCCAAGGGGTTCACATACTTTTTCTTGCAACTGTATATGCAGTTATGACACTATACTGGTAATGGAGGTGATCAGTGACTTATAGTGGGACAGTGATAGTGTGGGGGGCAATCTGACACTAGCTGACGCTGGCTGGAAAGGACACTATAGTAACACTAATACATTGATAAGTGTTAATACTGTACACTGTCACTGTACTAATGACACTGGCTGGAAAAGGGTTAACATCTAGGGGCAAAGGGTTAACTGTGGTCCTAACAATATGTGTAATATGTGCTGATTTTACTAACGGATGTGGATGTTTTTTCTCCCTGCTTTGCAGGGTGAAAACAGCCACGTCGCTGCTTTGTACAGTGTTGCTTGTAAACACAGGGCTCTGTACTGTGATTTGCTAAGCTGATCAGCAGGTCCCAGCCATAAATCATTCGCCAGAACCTGCTGATCAGCTTGAGCTGCAGTGAATGTGAGCACCTTCTACCCAGAAATTCTAAACCATGTATATGATTCAGCAGAGCAGGGCCGCCTAATCGCAGTAAAAAGGCTGCGGGCAGTCCTTAAGAGTATAAGATTAGAACCTTTGTTCACAAAGTCAGAACATCTGTCAGGTTTTAAATGAGAACATGAGGTGTTATTGCAGCCTGTGCCTCTATTGGGCATGATTTCTCTTTGCTTCCTGTTCTGTCTGAAACCCATCAGACAGACAAGGATGCATATCCTCCAAATAAGGACACAAGCAGCAATAAAAAGCTTACAGATTATATTATACAGGGTTTATATCGCGCCAACAGTTTGCGCAGCGCTTTACAAAATGAAGCTAGACATTACAGTTACAATACAATCTAGTACAAGAGGAAACAGAGGGCCTTGCTCGTTAGAGCTTACAATCTAAGAGGATGTTTGAACTGGTGTTTTGTCTGACTTTTAGAATCGACGTGATCTTAATTCTATGAATAAAAACTTTTCTGGTTTTAATATATTGTGTCCCTTGGTGTGCCAACCAAGTCCAAAATATATTTCACACAGCCTCTTTTAGCTTTGACGTTTTTTTTTTTTTTTAAACAAACCTTACCTGAGAATAATGGGAATCATAATCTCTGTACATGGGAGGTTTGTGCGGCCTCTCTGAATGCTCATCTGAATCAAAGCTGTAATCTGAGCTGTTGTCACTATGCTGCAACACACAGATATAGAAATCAGTCAAACACCATAATGCAATCATGACAATATAGCGGAGGAAGGGTAAACAACATTTAATCAATACAACTATTTTCATCTACTTCAGAGCAAGCAAACTTCATTATAACCAGGAAGTGTCAGAGATCATTCTTATTATTCATTCTGGGTCCATGTACCGACTCCTGCAGCTGCTCTTGCATCCACTTCTATAGGCTGCCTGAATGCAGCTCAGGGCAGATGTAGGAGCAAGAAAAATAGCTCATGCATGCAGGGCGGGTATCGGCACACAACTGAATGAGCCCTTAGAATGTCTCAGCATGCATGTGTAAACAGTAGGCTGGTGCATATAAGCTACTACATATATTTACAGAACAGGGTGTACTAATATAGTTTCTCGTCACCCTTTTATTTTTAAAAAGCACACACCAAACCCCAGGGCATGGTCACCTTGTGCTTCTCTCTACGTCTGCGTTTCTTCTTCTCTCTCTTGCGTTTTCTTGACTTCTTGTGTGACTTCTCACTAGAGGGCTTCTCCTCTTCTTCCTTGGGTTCTTCCTTTACTTCCTCTGGCTCAGGCTCCTCTTCAAATCCTCCATCCTCTATTTCACCATCCTCCAGCTCTCCCTCTTTTCTGTGGGAAGAAAAATAATTTCACATTAGGAGAAAATACACACACACACACACACACACTTGACTCCCTGCAGATTCTGTAAGTTACAAGGAAATGAAGGGTCTATAATTTTAATTATAAGTGTATTTTAAATGATAGAGAAAGAATATCAACCAAAAATCCAGAACAAACTCCTGATACAAACATTATAAATTGAGTTGCAGTTCAGTGAATAAAATAAGTATTTGATCCCCTACCAGCCAACAATAATTCTGGCTCCCACAGACTGGCTATGTGCTCATGTGGTACACAGATTAGTCCTGTCAATGTAAGAAGGGCTCCTAATGACAACTCGTTATGTGTATAAGACACCTGTCCACAGAATCTCTTCCATTCAAACCTCACCATCATTGGCAAGACCAAAGAGCTGTCAAAGGACATCGGGGACAAGATTGTAGACCTGCACAAGTCTGCAATGGAGTACAAGACCATCAGCAAGAAGCTTGGTGAGAAGGAGATAACTGTTTGAGCAATTATTCACAAATGGAACAAATACAAAATGACCATCAATCGCCCTTGGTCTGGCGCTTCATACAAGGTTTCGCCTCATGAGGTAAGGATGATCACGAGAAAAGTGAGGAATCAGTGCAGAACCACATGGGAGGAGCTTGTGAATGATCTCATGGCAGTTGGGACCAGAGTCACCAAACAAACCATTGGTAAAACAATACACTGCCATGTTAAAATCCTGCAGTGCTCACAAGGTCGCCCTCCTCAAAAAGGCACATGTACAGGCCCGTCTGAAGTTTGCCAATGAACATCTAAATGATTCAGAGAAAAATTGGGAGAAGGTGTTGTGGTCAGACGAGACCAAACTTGAGCACTTTGGCATTACCTCGACCCGCCGTGTTTGGAGGAAGAAAAAATGCTGACTATGACCATAAGAACACCATCCCTAAAGTCAAGCACGGAGGTGGAAACATTATGCATTTGGGCTGTTTCTCTGCTAAAGGTACAGGACGACTTTTCCGCATTGAGGAGCCAATGGACAGGGCCATGTATTGTAAAATCTTTGATGAGAATCTTCTTCCCTCAGCAAGAACACTGAAGATAGGTTGTGGATAGGTCTTCTAGCATGACAATGACCCAAAAGGAGTGGTTCAAGAAGCAGCACATTACGGTCCTGAAGTGGCCTAGCCAGTCACCAGAACTTAATCCTATAGGAAATTTATGAAGGGAGCAGAAACTTCGAGTTGCCAAACAGCCAAGAAACCTTTAAGGATTTAGAGGAAATCTGTATAGAAAAGTGGACCAAAATCCTTCCTGAGATGTGTGCAAACCTGGTAACCAAGTACTAAGTCATGTTTTGCTTGGGGATCAAATAGTTATTTTACCCACTGAACTGCAACTCAATTTATAACATTTGTATCATGTGTTTTTTCTGAATTTTTGGTTGATATTGTCTCTATCATTTAAAATACACCTATGATAAAAATGATATAGTTAGTCTGGCTGAAAAAAGACAAAAATCCATCCAGTTCAACCATAAAAAAAAAAAAGTTATAATCCTACACCCACAGTTGATCCAGAGGAAGGCAAAAAAAACTAGCAAAGCAGGATCCAATTTGCTCCTGCAAGGGAAAGAATTCCTTCCGGATCCCCCGAAAGGCAATCGGATATTCCCTGGATCAACTTTACCTATAAGTGCTAGTATCCAGTTATATTCTGTGTATCCAAGAAAGAATCCAGGAGTGCAAGCGGGAGTAGGGCCCCAAATTTTAGGGTTCATGGAAAGAAATGTATGTGCATATCCATTGATTTATAACATAGGTTTAGCCACTTTAGCAGTGACAGCTTTGCTTTATGTTACAACTGTAGTACCTAACAGAGCAAAACTGACTACAGCTCTGAGTTCTGGTTATTAGAAGTATTTTTATTTATGTAATTTATGACCCCGGCCAGTTTCCCAACATAACTTTAACAGCGGGCACTCGAGACATATGAAAACTATTTATTGAATAAATTAGAATTTTACACTCAGTATGTCTAAAGATATCCATTCTATAGACACAATGCAGCTGCTGTGTAACTGGAGCTCCAACACCTCTTAGGTCCCCTTTGGACTCAGGCCAAGCAGGACCAGAGAGGTCCTGGAGCGGACACGGACATAACACGCTGTTCTCTATGGGGAGGTCAGATGTAACACAGACCATCTGGTCATTTACATCCAACTGTCATCCAATCTGATCGATAGATGGGGAACAGATCCCTCATTTCTCTGTTTTTAGCGATTAAGATGCAGGCGAGTGTAAACGGACCTATGTCTGTTTACATCCGCCTCCCCATACAGAATAGATAGCCCAATCGGGTCCACCTGAAAAACAGACAGGGGCCGTAGGGCATTCCAGTCTGGTCAGTTTTTCAAGTGGATCTGATCAGAAGGGCCGTGCAGCCCTATGGACATGCAGATGTAAACACATTAACACCCACCTACCTCTAGGTCTGTCTAGGTCCAGAAAAAAGATTAATAGGGAGCTATCATTTTTTTACATCTTTTATCATTATAATTTAGTTGGAATTGCATTTCTGAAACTTTTTTTAGTCATGTGACCAGAATAGCACCAATCATGGCTCTGCAGACAGACTTAAATCAGAACTTCACTCTCAATCAACATGGACTATTTTTAATCCTTATGCTGCTAGCATCAGTAAATAGATAGGAAAATATATCATATTTACTTGTTTTAAACTTTAATACATTTTTTCAGTTACTTCTTGGTTTCCATGTCTAGGCAAAAGATGTCATACATCCCAGGAATCTTCAGGAAAGGAGGAAGGGTTCCCAGCTCAGCCAATGCCTAAACTAAGGGCAGATGGTTTCCAGGAAGTAAATGCTACCTTAATCATCCGCCCTTACTCAAGATGGCCACTGCCAGAAATGGAGACATGCATGGATGGGTAAGTTTGCTTTGAATATTAACAATGAATTAAATAGCATTTTAGGTTTGCGGTGCTCAGATGCAGTGCAGTTCCACTTTAAGCCGGCCATAGATGGATCGAATTTAAACTGGACTAGCAGGGATTGGCCAAGATTTGATAAATCTATGGGCAGTCTGATTGTACCCAAGGCGATCAATCAATCGACTTGGGTACAACCAGCAACCAACACGGACTGCGTTGATGACAGAATCAAGCAATTTCCTTTCCTGAAACCCACAGTTGCAGGAAAGAAAATCGCATCATCCATGACCTGCCTTATACTGTAGAGAGCTAATGAAAGCCCCTCCCAAGGATCGTTCCCTGCAGATGTCAAAGTATAGAGAAAATAATGTGAAAACACACCAGTACTGTACAAATAAAAGGTACTTCGAGGATTAAAAAAAACCCAAAAAAACAAAATACAGTGATATGATATATATGAACTACAGAATGTGAATTAACTATTGCAATGAACACTTCTCTGCTTAGTATCACTTTAACTGAGCTTAGTTAAAAAAAAAAAAATCAAATTTTTTTGTTTTTTTAATTATTTCCCTCACACGACTGGATGTTCAAAGTAACCACGAGTTTACCTTATTTACTAACTTTAAGTGAATAGCCTCTATTCCTTCAGTAAATCAACAGCTAATGTTCTTTCAGCACACCCTGCTGTAGTTTGAGCCAATGGCACCTGACGATGGAATGCAGAAAGCACAATTTGCAGACAGTTATCACCCAACAGGTAAAGCCTGGCTTTCAAGGCAGGAAAACCAGGGTTTAATTTTACTAATGGAAAAATGATGTAAAAATAATTGCAAATGTCCTGCCAGAAAATGACTTGAAACCAAACCAGCCAAAAGCAGAAAACCTGACAACAATGGTGGTTGCAAATTTTTAAATACCTGGGAAAAACCTATATTTTTAGTAGAAGTTAAAGTTGAATTCATTTTAGGGCACGCAAAGACAATTTCGATTTTTTGACAATAGCTAAAAGACAACAACATTGTGTCAAGTAAAGAGATACCAAATGTGTCAAGTCCTAAAATTGTGTTCCCCTGCAAAGTGACCAAAATACTACGCTACTCAAATAGGCGGCGCTTTGGAAACCTTTACAGCTCATCAGTTTGGAGTTAACCATAATAGCCCTCAAATTATTCCTCTGATTTTGGTGTGCACAGGAATACCTAATATGTGTTACCAAATCACTATTTATAAAGGGGGGGGTGAGAGTTTTTTAAAAACTTTTTTTTATTTTCTCAGTTTGCATTTAAAGTGGAACTGCACTGCAAAAACCACAAACCAAAAATGCTGTACAATTCATTTTTAATATTCAAAACTAACTCCTCCATCCATGTCTCCATGCTGTATTTTGCTGAGAAATCATTTAAAAAAACACCTCCTGGCATTTCTGGCAGCGGCCATCTTGAGTAAGGGCAGATGATTCATGTAGAACTTACTTCCTGGAATCCATGTCTTTAGCTCAGGTATTGGCTCAGCTGAGAACCCTCCCCTCCTAAAGACACGTGGGATGTATGACATTATTTGCCTTGGCATGGAAACCAATAAAAAAATGAAGGAATGCAAAAAAATGGTTAAAACAAGTAAATATTATATACTTTCCTATTTACTAATGCTAGAAGCATAAGGATTAGAAAAAGTACATGTTGACTGAGAGAGGACAGTTATGGTTTAAGGGCAGAAAAGAGATCTGGGGTCTGAAAGACTCCAGATCTCTCAGTAAAGAGATCCTGTCATGGCCCATGCTATCACAAGGGATGTTGTTCATCCCTTGTGATAGCAATAAAGTTGCTAAAAAAATTAAAAAGACCATTTATAAAAAAAAAAAAAAAAAAAAAATCAAAAAAATGTAAACCACCTCTGTCCCCGTGCTTGCGCGCAAAGGTGAATGCATATGTAGGTTGCGCGTGTGAATGTAAACTGTGTTTGTCCCACACATGTGAGGTATCGACGTGAATGTTATAGCAAGAGCAATAATTCTAGCTCCAGACCTCCTGTGTAACTCTAAACTAAATGGAGATTTT